TCCTCCTCCTCCTCCTCCTCCTCCTCCTCCTTCTCTTCTTCTTCTAGCAGGATCCTGACATAAGATGCTGAGATATTCCTAGAGGGGTCCCTCTGCTCTTTCTCCCCTGCCACCTTCCAAGTGTTCCATTGATACATTCATTCACCCACGGTCTATCGATCTGCCCCGTTAACCAGTCTACTCTGAACAAAGATGCACGATCGGATGCATTTCACACAAGATTATGGCAGTTCTGGGGCCCGGAACTGCACCCGGGGGCCTCATGAAGGCCTCCTTCGATTAACTCCTCCATCTGTCTTCATAAGACCGGCTGAGTCAACACGTCTGGGATAAATTTTGAGGCTAACTGTCCCAAGGACCAATTTAGAGCCCAATGGCACCTTTAAGACCAACAAAGGTTTATTCAAGGTATGAGCTTTATCGAATACTTGATCCAGTGTTTGATAAAGTCTGCGTGCACAGAAAAGCTCATACCTTGAATAAACCTTTGTTGGTCTTAAGGGTGCCATCGGACTCCAAATTTGTTGTACGGCTTCAGACCAACACGGCTGAACGACTGGATCTGCCCCAAGGACCCTCATCCGCTTGGGGATGTGAAACCCAGCTTCCAATAGACTTTCAACGAATACAAATTAAAAGGACTCACACAAATCCACTTTGCCAAAACCACAAAAGCGATGGAGCCCACTGCTGCTGGACTGAAGAGGAGGATTTCCCATCAGGGACATTATTAAGGCACACAATTCCTGCCTGGGTGGGATGGACGAGTGTAAATGTTTTGCATATTGTGGTGTTTTATTTTTATAGCAATAAACACCAGTCAGATAAGAAGCGTGACATAAAGCCTGATGTTATTTTGTTGGGGGCATTAGGTCATTAAATCCATCCGCCATCTGGAGAGTTTACGATATACAAGTGTCCCTACACCCCAGGGGAAGGCAGAATTTCTCATCGTGTAAAAGACCAGCTAGTGGGGGACAAGTCTCCCCCAACCCATCTCCATCCTTATTCCTGAAATACGAGTGCGGGAGACCATGGCGGATGTGCAGAGGCAGTCATGGCACCAGATGGCGCTGGGGAAAGAAAGCTGCCGAATTCCTAGACAGGCAGGAAGTGGCCTTGCCCAATGGGAATTTTTTGGGGAAAGCCATAGGTTGTGGACTCTTTTGTCAGCCCTCTTCCCTCATCTGCTCTGGTAACACCATCGGTGACCATTCCCTGCTCAGTGAGGACTTTCTCATGGGCACAGCCCCTAAAGTCCACCCTGGCATCACCTGCCAGCACAGTACTTTATATTAGCCAAAAAGGGCAGTCGCTGTATGAGAAGATGAATGAAAAGCATTTAAAGGCCCCGGTCACACGGGCCAGATAACACCCGGGGGCGGGGAGGTGTGGCTGTTCGCCCTGGAACAAAATAAAGCACGGTAGCTCGTTTAACACGGTCCCCCGAGTCTCCGTGCTTCGGCTGTTAGCTGGCAATCACATGGTGATGCTGCAGCGTGGCAAAGAAGTGGCGCGGCGCGATCACACAAGCGTTTCGCATTTGTGCGCATGTGCAGTTCCGCAGAGCAGCACTGCTTTCAGTTTTGTGTTTGTGTGCATGCGCTTACGAAAAACATCCAGTTTGCGACGGGACCTGAACAGGTGCCGGATGCCACGGGATACTAGCGCTGCCGCGATCAGATGCCCACCCCTGCCCTGCGTTTGCCGGATACTAGTGCACTTTCCTTGGTACTTTCTAACTCCACATCTTCGGCGGGACGCCACGGGTTGGCCATGAGTGCGCTACGCTTCCCAGATGTTGCAGTGTGATCGCGCCCCGAAAATCCGCCCGACATTCGTGCCCTTTGCGCAGCAAAATCTCTGTGTGACCAGGGCCAAAAATGAGAATTCATCAAAATTAACCACCGTCACTCAGTTCTGTACCTTATAAATGGTAAATGAAACAGAAACATTTAACTGAGACTGCCTATCTCAAGAGACAAAAGGAAATACTCGGAGAGTAATTAAAATGTGGAATTCGCTGCCAGAGGACGTAGTGATGGCCACAGGAATAAACAGCTTGAAAAGGGGATGAGATAGGTTCACGGAGGAGAGGTCTATTCGTGGCAACTAGCCAAGGTGACTGGGGGGAACCTCCACGTTCAGAGGCCCTAAACCTCTGAATCCCAGAGCCAGGAGGCAACATCAGGGGAAGACCTCGGCCTCCATGCCCTGTTGTTGGCCAATCCAGAGGAACTGGCTGGCCACTGTGTGAGGCAGGATATGCTGGACTAGGTGGACCCTCCCTGCTCTGACCCAGCAGGGCTCTTCTGGTGCTCTTATCAGGGGAAGGCCTCGGCCTCTCTGCCCTGTTGTTGGCCCTCCAGAGGGACTGGCTGGCCACCGTGTGAGACAGGAGGCTGGACTAGATGGACCGCTGGTCTGATCCAGCAAAAAAATTCTGATGTTGTTAATATGAATTCATGAGCTGATGGGTGTTCCTTGGTGCTGGAACATGGTTATGGGTGGTTCAGCATCGGCCACAGGAAGATGACTGGGTAGGGCATACCCTTTCTGTAGGATCAGTTTCCTTTTGCCACATATTTGGTTATTCTTTAAGGTGCTACTGGACTTGTGCTCTTGTCTCCTGCTATGGACAATCCCGTGTTGCAGTTTTTAGAATCTGCATCGCAGTTTGCAGGGAGGGTGCTCCCTGGATCTCCTGACAGGGCCCCGAAACCGCTCCCTCCTGCCCCCCCCGTGTGGCGCCCTGTCTTCTTCACTCCAGGTTAGGAAATAGCTGCCACCCTCCTCCCTGCTGGCATACTTGTTGCCTCTGGCTCGCAAAACCCTCCGGGACAGTGGGCCGTGAAATCTGTGGAACTTCGTGGTCCGCTGGCTGCTCAGCCTACAGCTTTCTCCCCCCCCCCCAATAATCTGTGCTTTGAGGGAAAATAAGACAGCCTGGGGGCCATGCTACCACAGGATAAGGGTGCCTGGTAGGCTTCTCAACCCTCCCCCCTTCATATGTGGCCCTAGATTAGATTGGCTAAATTGGAATTGTAAGCCGCTCAGAGCCCCTAGGGGGTGAGCGGGATAGAAGTTGAAAGATGATGATGATGATGATGATGATGATGATGATGATGATGATGATGATGATGATGATGATGATGATGATGATGATTGCTTTCTTTTAACATTTGGCCACAGGTAGGGAGCCTCAGCATTTACAGTTTCAAATTCAGTACCAGTTAGTCAATTTTATATGGTGATAAAGACCCTAGGGAGGATTTAAGTGGTACTCCATTATTATTATTTTTAATTAGATGTTCCCAAAGAGAATACTCGGGGGGGGGGTGTAAACAGAACCCTTCAGCCTTCAGGCCTAAGGACATAGAACACACTTTTATCAGCTGCCAGAAGGGAGGAGAGTTCTTCTTTCCCTCAGAGAGTTCCTCTTTCCCTCTTTCCAGCCCTCATGGCCCTTTACCTTGGCTTGAGAGCCGGCACCACCAACACCACACAGAATTTGCCTCTAGCTTCAGCCTTCAAGAGTGACTCACCTGCTTAGTGACTCACCCTCTCAGGAGAAAGCAGTCACCACCGGACCAAGCAAGTTCTACACACATGGAGTTTCTTTAAGAGCCTTGTGTGTGAATCGACCATCGGTGCCTACCCCAATCCCTGACATATCAGAGAGCAACTGTGAGTTGGAGGGAAACGTGCTGAAGACAGAAAGGCACCCCGCTGACTATTGACACAGAGGAAGACAAGTCAGAACAATCCCTGAGCCTTCCTGAACCAAGCCAGTTTGCCACAATGCAAAACATCCTCAGAGACACAGGGAAAATCACGAAACTTCACCACCAGAGTTAAGGATCAAGTGTTACTCCGCCTAGTCTCCAGCTGTTTGGGATCCCCGTTAGGAGGGGTCATGTTTATTTTCACAGAGCTGTATTTAAGAAATGCCTGGTTGGTCATTGGCTCTAAGATATAAGGTGAGAGAGTGATTCTGTTTGGCCTTCCCAGCAGGAAACTGCTCGATTCAGCCGCACATTTTTTTTTAAAAAAAAAAAATCGATACTTAAGAGGTGTATTTCTTTACTGTACAGCTAAACAGCACAGAAGGAGCATATGTAATAAATATTATTACAAGCTTACAAGAGATGTGAAGGGGGGGGGGAATTAAAAAGCATTTTTGAGGATCACTGACAGGAGCAAGCCAGGCTAATGGGGATTACGAATACAGCTGCTACGCACTCGTTTTACCACCCGGGATTTTTTTTACAAATCTAGCATCCATTTTTAAGTCGTTCAGAGCTGCCGCTGTGAAATTGCTTTTATATAATTAGCCGCAAAAAAAAAAATCAACACATCAGCGATTTCTGCTCAGCGCCTCGACAGAGGAAGGCAAAGCAAACCCCCCTCCTTAAAGTCTCCCGCTTCTTTATCAGCAGTAAGAACGCTGCGCCCACATCATCTTTCTTGTGTCAGCAGCTGCTTGACAATGACATAGAATCACTCGAGGATGCATTTGTAGGGCATCACTAGTGAAATGGGCAAAGTCCCATCATCCCTTCTCTGCTCTGAGCCCCCCCCCGCCTGAATTGGATTGCAAGCTGTGGGGGGAGATCCAGCCATGTCCAATCCAAGTATCTTTCATGTCCAAAAACATTGACTGTTTTATGATAATGGCTGCAATCAGACGACAGGCTTTGGCACGGTCTGGTCGGGCCTCTAATTTCTCTGGAGTTATTTGTTCTGGAGAGGTGCAACCAGACATGCCTATTCCTGCCTCACCCCACCATTCAGACTGCCACTGGGCAGTCACCAAGGAGAGGGCAGGCAGGCAGCTTCGTCTTCTTCTTCTTTTTTACAAAAGACTCTAATGTGCACATGCACATAATTGCTTATCCACTAGGTATGCAATTATGCACACGTTGCTAACTGCAAAAAAAAAAGAGGATGGCTGGGGACTAGAAGCATCAGACCTCACCAAGTGGCTTGAACATGCAAGGGGGAGATCAGATGACCAGAAATCTTCAGTGAGACATGTTCAATCATAAACACCGGACTTTATCCGGTGTTGGGAAAGTTGGGGGTGAGGATGTGTGTGTGTGGGGGGGTGATGACTGAGGGACGGGAGACAGATGTTGCTGTCTGATTGTGCACTTCAAATCCGGTAGGGAGCCGCCACGACATTGGAGCAACTTGCCCGTCTGATCACAGTCTATTTTCCACACTGAACCCAGGTTTCCCCTGTCCAAGTCTAGCAATTGCCACTTCTCACTGCTTTTCCAGTTGGAGGGGCTGTGGCTCAGTAGTGGAGCATCTTTCCATGCAGAAGATCCCAGGGTCAACCTCCAGTTAAAAGAAGCAAGTAACAGGTGAAATGAAAAACCTTGACCAGAGACCCCGGAGAGCCGCTGCCTGTGAGATCAGACCACACTGTCCTTGATAGACCGCTTCAAGGTAGTTTCATGTGTTCAGTCAGCAGGCAATTCAATACAGGAAATTCATATAGTATTCCTTAATGCTCCTAGCCTGGAAAAGTCAAGGGGGTCAAATGTTGTATATGACCACCAAAGTACAATGATTCTCAGACCCAGTGATGCTCTTAGGCCGAATCTACATATGCATTTTAGAATCAGCTTGGTGCCGCTGTTATCCCATGTCGTTTAGAACTGTGGCGCCTCTGCTTTCAAGTTAGCATTAGGGGAGCTTTGTCTTTTTTTCAGTTATCTAATCACAATCTATGGTTCATCACTAGATGGCCCCTGGGGGTTACTGGAGTGTTCTGGGACTGGAATGAGAGGCCCCACAGTGGAATGGTAGCCCCTGAGGTTAGCAGGAGTATTCTAGTACTGGAATAACTGGCTCCAGAGTGGAATGACAGCCAAGGGGGTAGGAGATGTATCCTGGGACTGTAATGATAGGCCTGGCATTCCAGTTCCAGGACACTCCTCTTACTCCAAGGGGATGTCATTCCACCATTGGGCCTGTCATTCCACTCCCAGAACACTCCTGCTACCCCCAGGGGCTGTCATTCCACTCTGGGGCCTGTCATTCCAGTTCCAGAACACTCCTGCTACCCCCGAGGGGTGTCATTCCACTCTGTGGTCTCTCATTCCAGTCCCTGAACACTCCTGCTACCCCCAGGCGCTGTCATTCCACTCTGGAGCCTGTCATTCCATTCCCAGAACACTTACCCCTGTGAACTTAAAAATGAGAAACACCATGACAACAAGGCAGGAATTACTACTTTTTGAGCCAAATGCAAACTCTTACTCGAAAAAACTGCTGACTGTGCTGCCCAGTCATATTCAGTGATTATAAATTTAATAAACAGATAAATTTCAAATAAAAACCGGGGCCCCAAGCGCGGTGGGGGAAGAGGGTTTGCCCGGGAATTGGCTTCCGAGCCTCCCCCGAGCTGCAGCGCGGGCTTGGGTGACCTGGGGCAGGGCTCTCCCTGCCTCCCCGGAGTCGCAGGCCTGCAGGCCAAGAAGAACTTCTCGGTCAGCCACCTGCTGGATCTGGAGAAAGCCGGTGGCTCAGGCTGAGGAGGGCGTCGGGGACAGCGGCAGAAGCCTGCTGGAGTCTCCCGGGCTGACCAGTGTCAGCGACATGCAGCAGCAGGACGATAAGCGGCCCCGGCATCTTGCCCGCCCGCGGACTTGGGCAGGGGTGCGCCGGGAGCGCCGTGGGGTTTCGAATGGTGCCCGGTCCTCTCCGGTTTGGGGATGGGGCTGCGCAGGAGGCCTTCCCGGGCCGGGGGATCCTTCTCCCAAGCTGCCAGCGCATCTGCAGAGAGGCAGTGGGCCCGCCGCCGGTTGAGAATGCCCAGGTTTCCGCCACCCCATCCCCCCTCTCTGTTGAACACGCCAGGCCTCCCCCTCCCCCCGTGTCTCCGGACGAGCTTCCGAAGGGGTTTTTGGGCGCTCCGGAGGCGGACTGTCTGGCTCACCTCTGCTTTGCCCACCACTGCTCTGCCTCAAGCTTTCCTTGCTGCACCAGCTCGGAGGGGCCCCTTCTCCGTGCACCACTTTCCTCCTCTTCCCACCGCCGCTGCCACCACCTTTCTCGGCCTCTTCTGCCTGATGGAAGCGGCCGGCAGGCGGGCGGGAGTGGCCCCCGAGGGGTGTCATTCCACTCTGTGGTCTCTCATTCCAGTCCCTGAACACTCCTGCTACCCCCAGGCGCTGTCATTCCACTCTGGAGCCTGTCATTCCATTCCCAGAACACTTGCCCCTGTGAACGTAAAAATGAGAAACACCATGACAACAAGGCAGGAATTACTACTTTTTGAGCCAAATGCAAACTCTTACTCGAAAAAACTGCTGACTGTGCTGCCCAGTCATATTCAGTGATTATAAATTTAATAAACAGATACATTTCAAATAATTTTTTTTGAAAACTGGTACATAGCAGACTTCCGGTTTATGGCGGCGCCCTAGCAGACACACCTCCTGGACCTCTCGGGGGTGAAGCTGCGCTCCAGCTGAAGAAGGAGGTGTGCAGGCTCGCAACCCCCCCCAGGGGCCCGGGGAAGGGACCGTGGCCATGGAACTTCAAAGAGATTGCCTCTTAGACGGAGGAATGTCGGCGAACTCTTGAGGTGCCTCTCTGTTCCAACAGTTCTCCATGCTGTGAGACTGAATAGATTTAGTGACGCTGACCAGGACACGCGCAGAACGCTAAAGGATATTCCATTTGAAGTAAGAAAACATAGAAAGAAGTATAAAGAACTTGTGCTTTTTCTTCAGACAAACTCAATTGGATATAAATGGCTATTTTCAGAAGGCGTAACTTTCAAGATTGAAGATAAAGAATAAAAGATTGACTCTGTTCTGAAAGCTCAAGAATTCCTAAGGGTTCAGCTGGGAAGGCCAGAGGACGAGGAAAAAGATGAGGACACTAAGTCCAGTGGCGAGCCAGACACTGGTTCTTCCGGAGAGGACTCTCTGTCTGAGCAAGGGGAGGCAGCCCCAAAAAGTTCTTATAAGCTGCGGAAGAGAAGGGGAAAGGAGAAGTAAAGGCTGAAGGACTCTGAATTGTGCCTTTGAGACTTTGGTTTTGGGATGTTTTGGGGGTACTGTTACTAGACAGTTAATCTAAGCTTTAAAAAAAAGTGTTATAAATGTTTGGCTCAGTTTATAAAAGGATCAATGATGAGAAGACTCAATGTATCTAAGGTAGTTGGAGGATCTCCTCTCTTGGGGTTTTAAACCAGTGCGGAGCGGCTATAACAATGGAGGCCCTGTTCATACGAGCCCATTTGGGCCGGGAGCGGGACAGAATGGGGGCGGGGCAAACGGGCGCGATCCCACCTCAACATTTGGGGAGCGTGCTGTCTCCGTCCCTGATCCGTCCCAAATGCAGATACCGCGCCGTAAAAAAGAACTACCTATCTAGGTGGTTGCATCCACTGGAGCGCCTCAAGCTGGGCTGTGGGATCGGCGGCGCTTCCTTGCGCCGCCGCATC